ATTGCAACAAGAGTTGTAAGAGCCCCAATAAAATGATCTTAATAATAATTTTTAAAAGCTTAATTAACAACCTCTGATATGCAGATGACACAATCTTTGTTTGCTAAAAGTGAGAACTTGAAGCACTTAGTCATGAAGATCCAGAATTGTAGCCATCACGGTGGATTACAATTCAACATAAAAAAGATCAACATCTTAACAACTGGACTAATAGGTAACATCATGATAAAGGGATAGAGAAAACATTGACATTTTCAAGGATTTGGTCTTGCTTGCTCACCGAAGCAGCAATCAAGAGATCATTAGGTGAATCTGCAGAATGACAATTCTTCAGAATATTGAAACGCAATGATGTTACTTTGAGGACTAAAGTGTGCCTGACCCAAGCCAATGTATTTTCCATTGCCTCATCTGCATGTGAAAGTCGGACAGTGAATAGGGAAGCCCAAAGAAATGGATGCATTTGAATTGTGGTGCTGGAGAAGAACATGTGCCATGCACTGGTTCACGGACAAACTGATCTGCCTTGGACAAGGTCGAGCCAGAATGTTATTTATTTATTTTAATCCTTTTATTGGGGGCTCTTACAGCCCACAGTGCTCTGCAGAGGCAAGGATGGCATGCTTGTGTCTCACCCACTTTGGACATCATGTTAGGGGTGTCTGGTCCCTGAGGAAGATCCTCGAGGAGACGGAGGGACACAGTGACTGCAACCATGGGCTCAGGCAGAGGAACAATTTAATGATGGCGCAGGACTGCAACGTTTCGTTCTGCTCTGCCCAAGGTCACTGTGGGTCATACGTGACTTCATGGCATTTAACCACAACACAGCAAATTTGACCCCCCTATGTTATCAGGTTCAATAAAACTACTGTCCATACCAAGTTTAAGCATGATACCGTTTCCCTAAATAACTGTTTCCAGCAGGGTTGGGGTGTGTGTGTGAAGATGGGTGGGGTTGGGGACTTCAAATATTCCTTATTTCTTAAAGACATCTGCTTGGGAAAAGTGTGCACACGGCAGCTTTTCAGTTGTTCTGGTTGTTGGGATTGTCAAATAACTTTTAAAAAGTCTTATCTTCTGACTTTCAACATTGTCTGTATTTTGTTGTTCACATTAGGGTTTATCTCCAGTGCGTTCTCACTGGGGGTCACCCTCGAGAATCTGTGTTACGTTTGTCTGTTTAGGAAAGCCAGGATTCGTGGACCTATAGAGACAGCAGTAGCATAAGGGTTTCTGGGGGAAAGGAGAGGGTGTGCAATGATGGTGGCAGGAGGAGCGGGGGAAGCGATGCCAAGACGTCCAGGAAGGAAGAGAATGTTTGCAAACTGATTGCGGAAGCAATTGTACAGTATCGCTTGATTTGATTAAACATGGAATGATATGGTAATGATATTGACTCCCAATTTTTAAAAATTGTAAGAGAAAAATACATTTTAAAGTCATATTTTCTTAAAGATGGTGCTACTGATTGATCAGAAACCATTGACAATGAAATTACTTCCAGCTCCATCATTTATGTTTTGCCATCTCACCTATGAGAACTTGAAGTGTTTTTCAATAATTCCTTAAATATTGAATGAACTTGGAGGAAACACATTACCAAGAATCAAGGTTTCATCAGAGAACAACATATGGCCAGCACCACTCTTATTGCCTTCCCAAGAAATTACACAGTGAGGATAAGTAAAGCAGTTTTCACCCAATCATGGGCAAGCAGTACATCCTGCTTCTGCCCTAACTGTGCATGCTTTTAATACATTACAGAAAAGTACACAGATTTCACATAGAAGCAAGACGAAGGGCGGAATGTAAGAACTGCACTAACAAATACACTTTGAGGCCTTACAAGCACACTTCAAGAATATCAATTGAAATAAATAATATTTGTAAGTAGACGTATTTGTTCTAAAAGTTTAAGAGAATTTTAAAGCTACCTATTTACAAAATGGCAAAAATATATGGATAACTATTGAGGTAGTATATATCTGCTTAACCTTTCATATGGTCTTCAAGAGAGAGTTCAACATTTTATTCAATTTAGATAAATGGACCTTTATAAGGTTTCCTGGTGGTGCAGCGAGTCAGGCAATGGGCCGCTAATTGCAAAGTCGAGTAGAATTTAAATCATTGCAGTGAGGCTTTTTTGTTTTTCTTTTGGCCCTTTATAGGCAAAATATTATGTTAATGAAATAAATTAGGAATTTTCTAAGACAAAGTTTATTTCCAATTATGTTAAATGAGAATCATTAGAACTATTATTTCATTTAGTATGGGCCTTCTACAAGTATTATAAAGTTCAAATCAGTCCTAAAGATACTTTCCATGATAAAATAAAAAGCTCTTGACAATAAAAATGAGAGGCCTTCAAACAGATTGTGAAAAATGGAATGAAAAGATAATGAAAATTTCCACGATCTTTTTGAAGCCCTTTCACCCCTTTGTACATTTCTAGTTAAATTCTCATTCTTCTTATGGGACAGATAAAGACTTGAGAAAAAAAAAGTTAATCTAATTAATTTTAAAACCACCTTTAAAAACTGGGAGTTTGACAAGAAACTGACAGTGGGTAGACATCATCCATGTTTAGTACGTGAAGAAAAAACTGAGTGAATTGGGAAACAGTATGTGAGTGATAAGCAAAA